AAGTGGAGCACTTTGCATTTGTCTTTGTTAAACTTCATCCTGTTTAACTCAGACCATTTCTCCAATTTGTCCAGATCATTTTGAATTATGACCCTGTCCTCCAAAGCAGTTGCAATCCCTCCCAGTTTGGTATCATCCGCAAACTTAATAATCGTACTTTCTATACCAATATCTATACCAATGGCTTGGGGAGATCCATGTGCCTCCGGGGTCGCTGCCTTGGCGAATCAGCCCCCTGGCAGCGCAGCCCCTGGCACCCAGGAGCTAGTCCTTGCTGGTGGGGTGGGGGAGGGCCAGACCCCAAACTGCCCTGGGAGAAATCAGGCGGGGTTGGGGCTGCCCGTGCGCCGTGGGATTGGGAGAGCGCACGGGCAAACGTCTGGACACACATGTGTGCAAGCACGAATACACGTGCCAATCCTCTCAGGGGCAGGCTGTCACCCGGGCACGGGGATCACGCGGGCGTGAACTTAGGGACTTCCGAGGCCCGGGTGGTTTGACCGCTGCTGGGGGTGGGTGGGGCAGCGTCAGCATGAGCCAGGTTCGGAGTGCAGAGACCCGGAGCTTCTGGGTCACCCGCTGGCCCCAAAACGCTTCCTCTCCCTCCCCTTTTATTGACCCCCCCGCAACCCACAGAGCTGGGCCCCAGCGCAGGTGAATGCTTGGAGCCTCTGGGGTGGGGGGAGCTGCACTGGTATAACCCCCCCCCCCCTTGAAATGGATCTTTAATGGCCCACAGCTGGGTAGAGGCGACTGGTACCCGTGAGAATTCGGAAACCAGTCTGCTTAATGCACAGTCATTGATCTGAGGGAGAATCACCCACAGCTCACGTGTTTTCCTATAAGCCTCAGCTCCTCAAGCATAAACCCCTGGGAACGATGTTGGCCTTGCACTGGATCCTGAGTGGCAAACAGAGCAGGCCTAGCTCCCAGGCCTAGAGGGAGCCTCTCTTCTTCCCCCTCTCAGGTACTTGGTCTGTCAAGGGTCCCGCGGAGCAGGGTCTAGGTCATCGTGAGCCCTTTGGGTCTAGAATCCCGCCAACGGCCCTCGAAGCGGAGCCTAGGTTGCCCCAGGCCTCTGCCTTACCTCTTCAGAGGCTAACCGGGGAACGAACTTAACTCATTTCCTTTGCTTCGCAGTTGTACCTTTTTGTTCGCTCCAGAAATATGCCTTGTGGGTGTTTAGTGCTAGCTTAGGGGGGAGGGATAGCTCAGTGGTTTGAGCATTGGCCTGCTAAACCCAGGATTGTGAGTTCAATCCTTGAGGGGGCCACTTCGGGATCTGGGGCAAAATCAGTACTTGGTCCTGCTAGTGAAGGCAGGGGGCTGGACTCGATGACCATCCAAGGTCCCTTCCAGTTCTAGGAGATGAGATATCACCATTTATTTTATTATTCCTTAATTCGTATTTTGGAAGGGGGGAGCTGAGGAACAGACCCAAAGCAAAGCTCAATCGATGTTTCCCCTCTCATCAATCATTCACTTCAGCTTTCAGAGTGGTCGTTGTGACCCACGTTCGCTTGCGCCAGGCCCCCCGATGGCATTTGTGAGCTGGTTCCCTGCTGATCTATTCCAAAGTTCGATGTTGAAACCATATATGCCGATCGAGCCGTTATCAGCCATTAATTCCAGCGCTGTTTCGGCACTTCCAGTAATTTTTCACATCGTTGATCTAATGCTAAGAGAATCCAGCTCCCAGAATCCTTGCGCGAGTTCAGACCTACCGAGCCATACCAAACGCATGCTTGCCACATTCATTCCCGTCAGTCACAGCAATTCAGAATGGTTTGGCACCGGCCCCAACACCCCCCAGGGGAGACAAGGCCGTAAGCTGGCAGAGCCCGGAGAGTCTCAGGGCTGGCTGCAGGATGAAGGGGGCCATTGCAGGCTGCACAGATGTGGCAGGAGGCGTGTGTCCCCGTTAGGGTGACCAGATGTCCTGCTTTTATAGGGACAGTCCCGATATTTAGGGCTCTCTCTTATATAGGCGTCTATTACCACCCACCCCCTGTCCCGATTTTTCCCACTTGCTGTCTGGTCGCACTAGTCCCCGTGTGCGTGCGGGGGACTCTCTCCTTGCTCTGAATACACAGAGGTCTCCAGCGCTCCGTCCGTCCCGGGGCTGCGTTTGGAAGGCCCTGGCCGTGCGGACGACGGGGGAGGGAGGTTTGGGCGCGGTGGGGGCTGACGGCGCTTTCTTCCGCGGCTCTCCAGACCATCCGGGAAGTGACGGGCTACGTCCTGATCGCCATGAACGTCTTCACATACCTGCCCCTGGGGAACCTGCGCGTCATCCGGGGCACGCAGCTCTACGAGGACAAACACGCCCTCTTCGTGCTGCTAAACTACCACACCAACGGCTCGCACGCCCTCCGCCAGGTGGGGTTCAACCAGCTCACGGGTAAGTCCCGCCGCCCCCGGCTGCTGCACGTGACCCGAGTGGGGCGGCTCTCAGCCCACTGCCTAGTGGACAGATAACGTTACGCAAGCAGCATCTGATGCTGGCGGAGAGCCCCGGGGGGCTGCCCCTGCCCCTCTCGAGCTGCCCCCACTGCCACCCCAGGGCAGGGCGGGGACACGCTGGCAGGGGGCAGGGGCGTGTATGGTGCTGGCTGCACCTACTCGCCACATAAACATGGTGACCTCATCCTTGGCCACTGTTTACCTGCGCTCAGATTCGCGGGGGGGAGGAGGAAATCCACTCCAGGTGCCAGGTGACACATCCCGCCCTGGCAATGCCCTGCAGAGCTTCCTCCCTCTGCTGGCAAAATGCAGCCACTGCTGGGGTGGCCGACGGGAGCTGCTCACTACAACGCCAGGCAGCTGAGGGGGAAAATAGACTGGATCAGAGCAGTGGGCCGCCTTGTCTGGCGTCCCCTTCTCCAGGCAGTGGCCAGGACCAATTGCTCTGGAGGGAGATGCAAGCAGCCCTGGAGGCTGCAGGGGGGGTGTCGGGTTGGACTTTGGCCGGGATATGGGGGCTGATCCCCCTGCTCTTACCCAAAGCACCAGGGGATCCCAAACAACCTGAGCGCTCAGGGCTTCCCCTCTGGGTCGGACTCACTCTCAGGGGAGCTCAGGGCTGGGCCGCTGCCCCCGAAGGCCGAGGTGACGTGTTTATCTGCAGGACCAGCAGCTCACGTGCACCAGCCCCGACTTACCTACTCTAGGGTCATGCTGCTGCCGCCCATCACCGTGGTATCTGGGCACTGTCCACAAGTCCCTAGTGCCGTTCCTTGGTGTCTCTGGCACTTCTCTGCTTTGGGGGGGTCAAGGCTCTGCTTTGGGGGTGGAGCATCATTCTTTTGGGGGGGCCTTTCGCAGAGGGGTTCACCAGCGGGGCATTCGGTCTCCTGGTGCCAATGCGGGGGCTGCAATGGTACCAGTCGGAAACCGGGGGGTCCCCAGCATCGTGGAGCCAGTGACCCCCAGGTGCCCTGCCCCCAGCCCCTGGCAAGCCCTCCGAGGCCCCGCCTCTGACCTGTGCCCTCCCGGCAGGTTCTGGGGTGAAAGTCCAGGGGCCGACGGGCGCTTTATGGGCGCTCCTGGCCAATGGGATGGCGGGACGGGTAATCAATCCCCTTATCGGCGCCGAGGAGCAGGTTTATGAGCGTTTCCCGGCCGCGGCTGGGCCAGGAGCAGGTGAACGGTTTGGGGCAGAGGCTGCTCCAAGGTCAGATGCGCCTTGGCTGTGGGAAGAAGCAGGGTCAGGCTGGGCCGGGGCTGAAGGAAAACCCGGAGGGAGGGGTGGACAGTGAATCGGCACTAGGGGGTGCTGTTTAGCAAGGAGCGGGATCAGGAGGGGGCGCTGCCCCCTGGAGTCAGGGCTGAGCCCCACGGCCCAGGATGGGGCTAGGAGGTGCTGTGGGGCGGGGGGCTCAGGAGGGGACTAGCGGCTGTGGGTTGCCTTTCAGATGAGACAGGACAGGGGTGATGGTCGGAGTTCCCCAGTGCCGGCCTGCTGCCCCCTCTCCCTGGCCCCACACCGAGCCCCCCTGTGCGTCCGGCTATTCGCTGGACTTCTCTTCGCTTTCTGTCCTGGTCTGCTGGGTAGCAGCGCTGTTAGATGTCATCCCACCCAGAGGTGGCTGCACTCTGGGGCGGGCAGGGGGAGGGAATGAGTCTCCTCTAAGCTGCAAAGCTCAGCCCTGGGTCCGCACACAGCCCTGACCCCTCTCGGCCCCGGGGGTCAGCCCCACGCCTCGTGTGTACTTTGCAAAGCCTCCCGGGATACTGGAGAGGAGCTAAGGCGCCCAGCCTCTCCCCCTGCCAGCCTGTGGGGGCTCACGGGTGCCTGGGAGGGGCGTGGGTGTTCGACTCCCCGGGGAGCAGGCACCAGGAGGGGGAGCCGTGGGCAGGCTGGGGCGCGTCCTGGCGGGAGGATCCCGTCCGCTGGCGTCCCGGCCTGACCCGCTGGGTGCGCCCGGCTGTTTGCGTTCGGAGCGCTCCAGCCGCCCCGCCCCAGACGGAGGCTTTTATTGGCGTCCTCAGCACCCCACGGCAAGCGCCCGGCCTGCCCCACCCCAGCGCTGGGGCTGCCGTCCCCCCCCCCGCCCCCGCCCCGACTCCGGCTGTCAAAACAACCAGGGCTGGGCGGAGCCGGCGAGGAATTGCCTCCTGCAGCCGGAAACCCCCTCTTGCCTCCCCTGCGAGGGGCAGTGGAACGGCCAGATGTGACCCTCCGCTAACGGGGTGCACGGACCCTGGGGTGCGAGTGGGTCTCCGTGGGCCCGGCCCCAGACAACCCCCACTTCCGGCTCTGTCCCTCCCCTCAGCCCCCTGCCCTGCCCCCCATTCCGCTCCCTGGCTTCTGGGCACTCCCCGAGTCCTGGCCGGCGTGAGGGGGTCAGGGCCGCGGCTCAGCGGGTCCTTGCCTTGCAGAGATCCTGGCGGGCGGGGTTGACATCGAGAGGAACGAGCACCTGTGCCACGTGGACACCATCGAGTGGAGGGACATCGTCCGGGACCCGCTGATGGACCCAGTGGTTCGGCAGAATGGCAGGAAGTGTGAGTGTCCCGGGGGGGGGGCGGCCCCGGCCCCCGCTGCCTCTGGCGGCCCCGGGCCCTGGCTCCCCTTGCGCCAGGAATCTTAAACCCCAGGATCTGGTCCCGAATCGCCCTCCGCGTGGTCTGTCTCCTGCCTCCCCTCCCCGCCTGGCTCCCCATCTCTCCTCCTCTCTCTCCCCCCGCGGGGGAGCCCAGCGGCCAACGCGGGTTCCAGGGGCCTTTCCGGGGGGCTGCCCTGGGGCAGGTTTGCCCTGGTTTCTGACGGATGCGGGCAGGGGCCACCGGGGCCGGGGCCAGGCGGGTCCCTTCATGAGCACAGCTGTGGCCAATTAACAGGGGCTCAGGAGTAGTGGGGTCTATTTGTAACTCCTCTACTGACCCGCTAGGCGACCCTGGTCAAGTCATTCGACCCCCCCCCGTGCCTCAGTTTCC